TAGTCTTTCTCATAAACTCTCACTCAAACTTATGCCTTCAATTACCACCTGTATACTGATAACTCACATTTCTCTTTCTAGGCCAGGGCTCTTTTATTAATACATGACTGTCCATTTGATATCAGCTTTTCAATGACTCAAATCAATCTTCAACAGTCAAAATGACTTATAAGTAGTCCCCTATACACACACTCACCCACAGACACTCTAGCCTTATAAGCATTCTGTATCTCACTGACTGGTACTACCATGCATCCAGTTAGATGATAATAAAAAAAATAGAATAATATTATCCCTATAATGGCCTACCTATAGACTGTTATTGACACTATATCCTAAATATGTCTAAAATCTATCAATTTCCTATCCCTGCACACATCCTGGTTTAGGTCCTTGTCCCTTCACATCTTTAGTCTTACATGTTACTGTCTTATTCCAATTCATTCTCCATACTAAACTCAGAGTGATCTGTAAGAAACACAGATATGACCACGTCATCACCTTGCTTAGAAACCTCCAAAGACTTCTCAGTTCTCTTAGACTAAAATCAAGCCCTTTAACAATGCCTCCATTTGAACTGTTTCTCTTGCCCTGTTTTATGACCCATTCCCCTCATCCTCTCTGTGATCCAGTCCCTCTGGCCTTCTGTCAGGGTCTTGGACTCCTTATGCCTCTCCACTCCTAGGCCTTTGAACTTGCTGGCTTTTCACCAGGCATTTCATATGCTTTACCACTGTCCTTCAGACAGTTATTCAAGTATCACTTCTTCAGGGACATGTCCTCTGACATCTTGAGCTAAGTCAAATCTTTACTTTGTTTTCTCATAGCAGCAGAGCATCTACTTTCATAGAACCAATCAGAGCTGGAATTATCTTAGCTGTTATTATGATTATTTGATTAATTGTTTTTACCTCAAAACAAACTACATGTGGGTGAAAATCCTGCCTGACATGTTTTCTTCATTTGATTAAACCTAGCAAAGAACACAGTGGCTTGTACATGGTTGATACATGATAAGTATTTGAAGTGTGCATGAATAAAAATTTCCAGAAGTGGGGTTACTAAACCAAATGGTAGGAATGTGTTAGGACTTATGATATGCTAGCAACTCTTTTCCATAATGTTTGTAGCAATTTACTGATTTGATTTTTTAGCAATTTTAGTAAGCTTGTTCTATGAAATAAATCATGTGAAGTGTTAAGAGAGCAAGCAGCCATCCTTGGAGGGTAGGTACACAGGTGATAGACAGGCTTGTAATGGTACGAGGTGAAACATTTTTATTTGTTTCATCTTTACAATAAAAGATGTCTGGGAAGTAAGATCATTATACAAAAGAAAGATCTGGTGAATTCCAGGCAAGTCAGAAGTTTGTGTATACTGTTTCCAATATGGATCAAACACTTTATAGGCAAATAAAGAAAAAACAATTAGAAAAATATTTAATTTTCTGTGTCCAGCTAGAAACATTGTAGTCTTTGATCAAAAGTGGTAGCATGTGAAAGTGATACCTTTCTGGTGAGAAATACAAGGTTTTCTAAACACATTTACTGGTGAACACTAATAATAGTTTATTTGAAATGACCCACAGATGGTTACTATAATCAAAGCTATACTTTCTAGTTAATAAAACTATTAATTAGAAAAATGAAGTTTAAGCATAAGAATATGACTTCCATCTTAATGCATCTTATAAAGATTGATGCATCGTCTTTGGCTTTGACATTTTTAAAGATAGTTAAATATGATAAGATGGGAGCTTTAGAGGTTATTGCTACTCATTGGGATTCATTTTTGCATTATACTGGTGTTGTTCAGATACCAATAATATAGTCTAGACACCCAGGAACAAAGTTTAAGGTCTTAAGTTTCTATATAATTCAAGAACCTACACATCTTCCCTAGAGAAAAGACTCTTTGATAAACCAAGTCTGACCAGCCCACTGAACTTGACAGTTGATATGGGTATTCTCTCAGCCATTAATTGTGAGCATATTCACTATTTCTCTGAAGTAATTTTTTCCTTCTCCTATTCATATTTCTCAGCATCTACTTTCCATGGATTTACTAGTCAATGCCAAATGAAAGTTCCCTTTCCTTATGAGAGAATTGTTGACTATGCTTGCATATCCACTCAACTTATTTTTCCAGAAGTTATTTTTTCTTCTGATTTTTAAGGCATCTAAGAGTAGTGCCTGTGCTATAAATTTGGTGCAAAAGTAATTACTCTTTTTACATCATGATATGTAGTTTGATCCACATTTTCTCTTGCTTTTCTACTGCTATCACTTTTTGAAATCAATCATCCTCTGTTAGTCTGTTTCATCGTGGCTGTATTATCAGTTCATACAGATACTTACAATGTGTCTCTCAAGAGGTGTCACATGATGCCATTATAAATAGAAATGTAATTATTGCTTGGTCCTTTGATTTTTGTAAACTGTCTCCCTGTCGGAGCCTGTGACCAGCGAATGGGCGCACTCGCCCTCCCTGCTCAATCCATCAGCGTGTGCTGCCACTCCTGTAAGTCAATCGGCTTGAGTGGACAGCTGCCAGAGATCAATCAGGGACACAGAACAGAGCTTAATGAAATTTTATTTTGAAAAGATGGCAAGAGTCTAAGGCACTTCAAACATTTAAATACATATAGGACCAAAGTAAATGTGACACAGTATAAAGGAATCCATAAATACAAGAGAACTACACTGTTTCTCTAGAGGCAAATACAGAGCCAATTCCTCTAATACAATCCAACCTTTATCATTAGAGTTGTGCAATTATTAATACAATATGATAATGTTAAAAAAATGGAATGAAATATACTTGTGGCCAATTTCAACAGAGCTTGATTGGTATTTATGTAGGAGACCCTGGCATGAAACTTTTCTGCTAACAATACACTAAGTGAGGTCTCAGCCCATCAGTTTAAAGTCCTTGAAGTCATGTGAAAATCTGATTCCCCAGAGTAACTGTACTTATATTTATTATGGAGAAAGGACATAATATTATGGAGAAAGGACCTTTGATTTTTGTAAACCACATGACCCTACTAGAAATGACTGTTAAATAATAAATTGAAGAAGAACAGTCACAAGCATCCCAAAATACATGATTATTCATAATACATTTTCCCAAAGCAAGCTTATTTTGATAGATCTGAAAAATACTGTAAGATTGAAACTTGTTCATTGAAACTGATGACTGGTTGAACTCCAGCAAGGCTGATGGGCTCATTGCTCCTCTCTCTCCAGCAATAATAATAGTAATTGAATCAGTCCTGAAGTCCTCTGCCTTGGGCATCAGGGCAGCTGAAATAATTAGAGAGTATTCCAATTACTCCTGTGTGTCATGTGTGTGGGTGGGTGGATGTGTATTGGAGAGATGTTAATGGCTAAGTAAGCAGAGCCTGTTGGTGAATGAAACAGATTGCATTAGGTTTCATATAACTGGGAAAATCTGACTGTAGGAACTATAACAAAAAATTGAGGGTTCAGTAAAATAGATGGGCTTTGGAAGTCAAGAATATGTCTATCTGCCCATCTAGATTCCCTTCACTCATGTGACATGTAGATGTGAGTTCCATGCTTCTCCATGAATTCTTTTTCCTTGTAAACATGAGGGTAATATTGGTTTGTTGTCAGATACACACAATAGTGTTAGAAATGGCATTTTGAAAAAATATCAGCTCTCTAGTGCTACACAATTTTTACTCCCTTGCCTGTGACTGAATTTTATTACCTTTCACTGTAAATTATTACTGATAATTAAAGAACAAATTTTTATCTCAAAATAAACTACTTACTGTGTACAGGAGCTTATGTTTTGCTACATATCTCTTAGATGTGTTAACCAGAATAATTTCAGAAATGTATGGATATCCGTTATTATCTTTCTTGCCCTCATCACCATTTCCTCATCCTTACTTCATTTAAAAAGGGCACCTTTGGGCTAATACGAAGAGGAAAAAAAGATTTGAGCAACTCTTTCTCAATCTTTTGGTTAATTCTCAGACTGTGAAACCCAGTGGTGCTTGAAATACAGCTGGGAGTGGGGTTGTGGTTGAGCGTGGGGGGTGTCCTTTCTCCATAATAAATATAAGTACAGTTACTCTGGGGAATCAGATTTTCACATGACTTCAAGGACTTTAAACTGATGGGCTGAGACCTCACTTAGTGTATTGTTAGCAGAAAAGTTTCATGCCAGGGTCTCCTACATAAATACCAATCAAGCTCTGTTGAAATTGCCCACAAGTATATTTCATTCCATTATACATATAATAGGAACAATGAAAAATCTTTCTCCTTGTTAGGCTTTTCTATGGCTGATCTAAAATACCTGAGAAAAAAACCCATCTAAATCTAACCATCTAATCTAAGAAAAGATTGGTCTCTTTTGCTAGTTTAATAAGGGCAGTTTCAGTGTTCACTGATGCTGAGCCACTATAATTATGCTAAAGGAGGGGGTGATATCAACAGGAAAGCTACACGTAATGCATACACTTGCAGACACATATATGAATGCACATGCATCTCAGCAAATTAGCTAGGTAGAAAAATAGATATATTATTTTTCATAATAACCATGTGTCAGGCCATGCAATGTGGTTGAGCGTGGGGGGTGTCCTTTACATATGTATGCCTATATGCATAAATATTTATTATTTTTGAATAAAATAGACTTTCCCACCCTTAGCTATGTATAATATATTATGAGGCAACAATGAGATTCATAGTGAGAGAATGACCTGAAGGCTGAGAAAAAGAGAGGGTAGCTTTAGTAACATTGCCCTTGCACACCTGTGAATCAATGTGTTTACCTTTCAGTATATATCTTCTTGATGAAAAGTATGTGCAAAGAGCCTCACTGTTTGGTACATGCTCATACTTGGACAAAAATCATTCCTCCTTTATCAAGACTGCAATTTGCATGTCTGCTGGAATTGTCTTAGGCAACATTTGTTTTAAAATTCCCACCCCAGCACCACAGTCTGCTAACTGCCTCCCACCAGGTTGAATGGTGTTCTGGGCCCTTCAGTCCAAGCTTCTCTCCATTTCCTTTCAGAGCTCAAGTAAAAGCTAACTTTTTTTCTTCTTTCTGCACTTTTTAAACCTAAATGTGTAAATGTTTTTGAGTCTGTTATTTCTTAATTTTCTATTGATCCAAAGGAATAATTGCACGTCAAGAATCTCTTTAAGGTGATTATGGGAAACTATAGACAAATCACGTGTCTGTTACTATCATGAATGGGATATATGTCACAATGGGATGTAAGAACTAAACTGTATAGTTTTGTTCTGAAAGAAAATCATTCGGCATTTTCTTACTGCTATTTTTTTTTACTTACTTGACAACACAAATATTATCTCATAAAAAAAACAAACATGATTTATATATTCCCTTTAGAGAGGCTGCCTCAAAAGGCAGAAACGACATTGTGATATCACCTTTGTGTCAAAGCCAATGCGGCACAAAAATGATTCTTTATCAAGAGCAGAGGGAATGATATCTTTTGACACCTCAGAAATTATTTGATGAGGAATTATTAAAACCAAACAGTTAGTTAAATTCCTCAGAGTGAACTTCAGATCCCTTTGACTTGTGAACCTCTCCTCCAGTTCAGAAAATTCCTCTAATGTGGATAATTACACTGATGGCTGGCCTGAGAAAATAGGCCACTGAAATGGGCTTTGTGTGATTCTGTTAATTGCTGCTGTAGACAAGCAGCCTGGCCCTTTATTCATGCCTCGCAAACCTTTTATCAAATGAGTAGATTATTTCTAATGCGTATTAGATAGGATGAACTCATCTTCCAAGAAGGGCATTAATATATCTGCTGTCTTTTTTTTTTTTTTTTTTAATAACTGAGAGAACTTGCTTTAAATGCAACTACAGCTTCAGGTTGGTTTTGCTAGTTATGTGCCTTAGCATCCTTAGCATTCTGCTAATAGCCAAGTAGCAAAACAACTTACTGGTTTATGGGTTCTGATTTGATGCTGGTTGTGATTATACTATGTCAAATAAAAAAATACTTGCTAATATGGCAGCATATGTATTTTACCACAGTCATTCTCTAAGTAGTAGACATGTAGCTTCTGGTTTAAGATCTAGAGAAGCACTAATGGTTAAAGCAGGGGACTCTGAAGTCAGAGGTCAAGTTTGAAATCATAAAAGGAAAAAAATAAAATAATATATTAAAGCTTGGACAACATATAATACCACTTCCTGCTCTAGGTAGGACTGAAAAAGCGTTGACAATGAAATGATCTTTCTAACTCAGGAACTGTGACTCTCTTTGGAAGATGCCTTCTGACTAACAAAACGAAACTGATGGCAATAGGGATAGCAGAGGTTATAAGGTCTGCAGGTCCTAATGCTTTTGCTATTTTCTAAATTGAAGCTGCTACTTATTTTTCTGAGCGGGACTTCTCGTGATCAGACAGAGTTCTACATTTCTTTGTTTGTTAACCCGTATGCCTTTGACCCAGTGGTACACTAAACAGCTGTGAAGAGCCACTAGAATTAGATTCCAGTCTTCATTCTACACATTAGTAGGCAGCTGCTGAAGGTACACAAGGCAAGGAGGAATCAAGAATGTCCCACCTTTCTAAGATTTTATTAGAAACATTAAGACTCAGAAATATCTACCATCTTGTTTACATCTTTATATTTTTTGCAGCATAATTTTGTCAAACATACAGATGCTTCAACATTTTTTTCTCCAGAGCTGGAATTCTGAAAAGGGGCTGAAAGAGAATCTTGTAGAGAGAGTCAAGGAGAGAGGGAGGGGAGTAAAAAGAGGAAAAGTAGCAGGGAATATCAAATTTTGAGTACTGATGCCAATATGTATAGGTTTCAAGGTCATTTAAGGCCTTAGATCATATTCAATAAGAGATGAAAAAAAGACAAGTCAAATTATGTTATGTGCGTAGATTTATGTTAACATTGTGTGTGTGTATAATGATAGCACTGAAGCACAGCAATATAGAAAAATGTGCAGATTTCATATGCCATAGGTAGCTGAATACGTCTCTCATTTGTAAGTGATATTTGTTTTTTGTCACCAGCAGCAGAGATCATATACGTTTCAAAAAATATTTGAATACAGAAATGTCATGTATATGATCTGCCACACAATTACTATAAAATGATATTAGCAGAATGATTATAAATAAGCCTTTGTGTATTTGCTGAAAAGATAGCGATAGTTTTTATAATTTCGTTTTATTTGAGTAATTTATCAGAAAAAAAGAGGACCTAGTTGATGTCCTGAAAGAAGTCTGGTTTTATACTTCACAGCTTATACACAATGAAGATTTTAGGCAGAAGCTGAGTAAGTCTTGTAGTTGCAGATGCTTTCCGAACAAGAAGCTTAAAAGTCAAAGTTGTAGAATATGGAGAGAGTGCAGTTCCATGGAACACCTTAAAATTCTCAGGGACCTTATGGATTGGGTGGAATTATTTCCTATGAATAAGTGGTAATGAGATTTGTGAGTTACTGTTATGCTCAGACTGATGCTTCAGGACATATGCCAGTAACCGTTGTTCTGCCTTCCTTCTCAGTCAGCTATATTCTAGACCATTTTGTCTTTAGTCTCATAAGAGCTTGAGAATTAATTTGAAAAACATGAAGCAACATGTAGTGCTTTATTAAATTATGGAATCTAAAAAAGCAATACATCCAGGCACAGTGGCTCATACCTATAATCCCAGCACTTTGGGAAACCAAGGTGGGAGGATCCCTTGATCCCAGGAGTTTGAGACCAGCCTATGAAACATAGGAAGACTATATATCTACCAAAAAATAAAAACAAAATAAATTAGCTGTGTGTGATGATGTGCACCTGTAGCACAGCTATTCTGGAGGCTGAATTGAAAGGATTGCTTGGACCTGGGAGATTGAGGCTTCAATGAGCCACAATTATGCCACTGTGCTCTAGCCTGGATGAGAGAATGAGATCCTGTCTCAAAAGAAAAAAAAAATTTAAATGATACAAATTATTTTAAAGCTAATTGTAAAATATAATGGAACAGAAAAGATAGCTCAGGAATAGACCTAAATACAAATGAGGGCTTAGTAAAATCAATAAAAAGGTAGTCTTTGAAATCAGTAATAGGGTGAATTATTCACAAAACATTGTTGGAACCGACTATACGCTTCTTGGGAGAGGAAGATCCATGCCTCACCCCTTATAATACAAAACATTCTAGCTAATTAAAAACTTCAAAGGTAAAAAGTAATGGCTGAATATACTAGAAAAAAATGGGAGATTACAAAGTCTTGTGATTTGAACCTTTCTCACACTATACATGACATAAAATCTAAAAATCATTAAGAAGAGTCTTGCAAATTACCTGTGAGAAATGCACAGAATATGTACATTTACTAGGAACTTTATTATAGATAAGCATGCCTATATTTGAGATTGAATTAGCCTGAAAGGTGAAGAGAGGCCACAGGCTTAAATTATATTACATTTAAATATTACTCACAAGGCTAAGTTTCTGCATTCCATAATGTCTGTGTGTGTGTTTGTACATATATGTGTAGATAATGTATTGAGTTTTTGCATATGTAAATGTACAAATGTATGAATACAGTATTTCTGTTTTCCCAATCTTCATCTGTCTTCCACTGCTAAGGCAGTCATACTTACTAATTCAATGCATATTTATTGAAAGATTTTTATGTGCCAGACACTATTTTGGATACTTGAATATGTAGAACAAACAACAACAACAACAAAACAAAACATAAAAACAAGCCCTGCTTTCATTGTCCTTTTATTCTGACAATAATTATTATTGCCACTGAGAGGTGCTCTAACTGCATAGCATAGGTAAGCCTTGTTTCCTTTTAATTTTCCTTCCTGGTTTTCTGAAACTGACTAAAAATGGGTTCATATGTGCTCTTGAGTTGAAAAGTTTTCCAACAGTACATCTCACGTAGATACCCACTCCCCACCATCGTCCTTGCCATCATGCCCTGTCCATGTGCCAAGGGCTGCCTTCTGAGGCCTTACAGAGTTCTCTTAAGGTAACAACTGTTTTATATTGGATTCCTTTAAAAGATCCATGAGAACAAAAATGAATGCAGGGTGTTTATTTTGGAACTGAAATCAGAAAGTACAATGGGAAAGTGAAGAAGTGAGACGGGCAAGGGAGGCAAAATTCACCACTAAGGAGGCCTTAATGTAGTAAGTGTGCATGAGTATGTCACACAGCTGGATGCTGTGATAAGTGGGCAACTGGGGTGCACTTCCCTCGAGTGCCCTCTGAAATCTAAAACATCACAAATTTACCCAAACAAGGGCAAGGAAGCGTGCTCTAGGAGAAATATCTTGACGTTAGGGAGGGAGATGCAGTCTTCCTGCAGGGAGACATCACGTTGACAGAAGAGATTTGGGGTGAGCCAAGGGAAATGGGGTGGAGCACCCATAGAACAGAGCAGTGGCAGAGACTTATCTGCAGGCCTCATTGCCCTTTGACCATATTGAAGCAGGGGATATCTTCTTTACAATCCTGTGGGTCCTCCATTATCTCTTCCATGCCACAGCAATGTAGACTGATCTTGTGCCCCAGACAGACTTAGGTGAAAACAAGTTTATCTCTCCTTAACATCTCTCGTTAGGGTCCAGAGAGGAGTCCCCTGGGCTGGACATAGGGACTGGTATCATGTGTTTTTCCCCTCATAATTTCTTTCTATCCTAATAATGAAGAAGCTAAATATTTTTCAGCTAAACAAACAAAAATCCTCATTTAATTATACTTCTTATGGTTCCACTGTTGTGTTTGATGAATATAGCCAGACAACAAACCTACATTCAAGTTTAGGATTGAAATGTGACTCTGATGTGTGTGAATGTATGCGTGTGGGCATGCTCAGTTACATCCTATGAAGGATACAAAAAAATAATACATGAGGTGAATAAAATCCTATTTAATTTTGTCATTGAAGACTGAAAATGCAAGGCTAAATCAGAACAGATGCCATCTCTCCAAAGTTAATGCACTGTAAACGATTTCTTTCTTGGAGAATTTTTGACACTGAGAAGAGTTTTAAAAAGAGACCCTTAATAGTTGGCTGTTGCATAATAATTCGACTTGAGAACCTCATATAATTTATGATCTTTGGTGAAATTTTTGAATTTCTGCTCTTGTTGAAGGATGCAGCATGAATAGCTTTCTGGAAATTTGAGTGTGATTTTTCCTGAACACCTACTGAATTTGACACTGGTTCTCAATGCAGGATGAAAACTAATTCCTCAGTAGAAGATAACTTTTTCTCAAAAGAATAGACTTGCCAATGGCTCAACAAGCCCTCAGAGAGATCTAGAATGCACAAGACTTTCTTCCAGGCAGACTCCAGGAGTGTAAAGGGGGAAAATAAAGATATTGTACTTATTGTTAGTATGATGCCCCCACGAGAGGAGGACCGAGGAGTTTGCAGGTCAGTGAGATGCCAGTCTGTGCATTTGGCCTCTGTGCCTCACTGTCATTCTTGTGGTCTCAAAAAGAGAATGCATTTCTTGTTCTTTGAGAAAATCAGCTCCAACAGGAGAAGCTGAACACAAAATGGAATACATAGCCACTCAGTATTACTGGAGCATCTCATTTGTCTGTCCCTCTTTTGGAAGCAATTAACCCAACAGACATTCAAAATTTCCAGCTGAGGTAGAATGTGTTGTTAAAAATGACATCTCTGTGACCCTGAATTCTGAATTTGTTTCAGAAGCAAAGATGCCAACTGAATGTCATCCTCAGAGAGAGAAATTTGGAGTAAAAAAAGTGACTGAGTAAGGCTACTAAATTAGACCAATTTGAAAGTTTTGGAGGTGAATGAGGGGCAAGTAAATTTTGTTTTGGAGAGTGTAAGCCATTATCCAAATGAAAAATATAATATTTCCATAGACTACTATATAGTTAGAGTTTATACAACACGTAATGGATTCCATTAAATACTCTGAACTCCTGCAACCCTCAAGTAAAGTTCCCAAACAGCCTCACATCAGTTTGGTATATTATTGTAAATTATATTTTGGCTTTTATTGCACAGTCTAATTGTTTCTGTGATTGTCGATCTCATTGCTGTAGATACCTGGATGTTCCCTATCTATCCAACCTTATCTTAACCACTATACCTCTGGCTCACCATTCTGCAGATGAGTTACCATCAGCATGTATAGGCATATATTGTTATGTGTGCCTGTTTATTGTCAGTACCCCCAGTACACTGCATGTTCCATGAGACCGCGGTCTATGCTTAACTTGTTTTTGCACAAGAGTCCAGCTCAGTGCTTGGTGTATATAGATGCTTACCTATTTTCAAAAATAATCGAGTGGATCAATCTTTTAAAATTTTTATATAATGTATGTTTGAATTGTTTGCACTCAGCTCTGGGCTGTAGTCACAGTGTCTTCAGTCCCTTTTGTCCTTTATGTGTAACTATCACTTCACAGATACACATTACAGCCCAGCCCAGCGTATACCCTATCATCAGCTCAGTTCCTGCCAATAAAATAAATATAAAAGCAAATGCCCAAAGGAAAACCTTATTTTCTGAAGCTCTCTGGGTTGTGATGGTGCCAAAATACAACACAAGGCAGAAGGAAGAATCATAGAGAAAATTTTGATCTAGATGGTAGTGGTCCAGAGAATTGGCTCCTTGACTGACTTTAATATCTTGACATGTTTCTTCTTCATTTCTAATTCCTGGACATGTCCCAGTCCATGGTTCCTATCTGGTTGTTGGATCCCTCCAGTGATATATTTCTGGCTATCTTTCTCTGCTCACCTATAGGATCATTCAACTCCAGACTTGTTATTGGTCTTTAAGAGGTGAATTTTTCTAGATTTTCTGACCTCAATTTCCATAGTTACTTAATGATCCTTTTGTATTTCTATGTCCTTTAATTCTACATCCCTTGATGTTCCTTAAACATATTTTTTCTCCTGATCTGGATGCAATTTGGTCATCTTTCATTCAACTATTTATTCATCACATTAGGAATTTATTGTATGTAATTACTACTAAGGGTGCCAAAATAAATGAAAATACTACTTACTTTAAGAAATGTATGGTATTCAAGGATCAATATTTTAATAAGAAAATGATAAAACAGACAGATATAGACAGACTGGCCTGGACATAAATAACCCAAGGTGTGCAAATACAAAGTTATATCAACACAAAATTCAAAAAAAAAAAAGAAAGATAATAACATGTAATACTTTATTGGGAAGGAAAGTATTTCTGAATCACAAAATCAAGTAAAACTACAATGGAAAATCAGCATCTCTTCTGGTCCTTTTAGGATAATTCATTAATATGGTCTGTGGGAATGACACTTTACAGACAGAGGAAGATATGAGTTTAGCGTTAAATGCAAAAGATAAAGAATATAAAATATATGAGTAACTTGTTGACATCATATTGCCTTGAATAAAGGGAAATAACTTTGAATTTGTCTGAAGAAGTTGGCAGGCTGGACTCCATATAGTAGGTGAAATGAGAGGTGGAGAGGAGAATACTGAACCCTTTTAAGTAAAAGTGTATTACTAAGTTGTGTACCAGGCATAGTATCTGAAAGAGATGTTCCTGAAATATGGTGTAAGAAAAGACAGTGATTGTGAAAAAATAACTGATGGATTTTGGCAACCAGAAGGGTAAAAAGTCTTCAATTACAGGTGGCTGGGATGATGATAAGCCAAATGTCAGAAATGAGCAAGTGAGTGGAAAGCTGGTCTGTAGTGTAGAGGGCAAGTTTGCTTCTAGACCATTGAGTTTAAGGCTGCTATTTAGTTCAAAAGTAGCATTCTATCACCTCAGTAGAGAGTTTATAATTGTGGGTCCAAAAATACAAGAGCATGGGTTAGAGGCAGGATCATAAGGAACAAAGAGAATTTGTCAAAGAAAATATTAACGAGAAAGAAAGAATAAACAAGAATGTTAAAAGATATGACAAGGCCAAGAGAGATGAGGACCAAGGCAACAGGTTTGATTGTATTAATTTGAAGGTCACCAACAATTCTTGAAATTCAATAGAATGGTGGTGGTAGAAATGATAATAGGGAGATAGTTGGAAAGAGAGTGGATAATATAAAAATGGAGACAGATGGTGCAAATATTCACTTGATGTGTGTAGTAAGAAGTAAGAGGCAAGTAGGATGAACAGGGTTTAGTAAGGGTATTAAAAGAATCTTTTTCACTATCCAAGCCCTATATGTGCACAGAGATATGAAAATGACCTGCATTTCCTTTAGAAGCATGTACTACTGTCCAAGTATCAAATAAAAATACTAACATGCTAATTGACAATAACGTTGGTCTAATTCAAATTGAGTATGTACAAATTTATTGACCAAATTAAGTTAAAGTGTATTGGAGTAACCTCATGGAGATTTTTCTTAGAGACATTTCTGAGCAAAGAAGGTGGCTCACATTATCATTCTGCTATTTGCAGCACAGTTTTTGGGGGAAAAGCATGCTGAATCTCAGATTCCTAGGAAAAATAGTACCCAAGTTATGATGTCAATGAAATGTATTAATACGTCTTAAAAGTGGTTTGTAAGTGGCAGAATACTGTAACAATTACTACTAATAAAATACTAGTAAGAAAATATGCCTAGACATGGCATTATGTTTTCACAAGTAATTTTCGAACTCCAAATATTTCCCAGATGCATTTACTTAGTATTTACAGACCATCCCAAATCATGCTAGGTACAATGTAGGACACAGAGGTCAGCCTGTCCTCTACCCAGTGGATTTACAATCTGCCATGGTGTCAGCCAAGTTTTGTAATTTTATGCTCAATTAACATCTGGTTAGAACTTGTTCAGTTAACAAAATGCTTCCCTCTGAAGATAAATCATGGGACTCTTCCACTGCAGCTTGGAATCTTCCTGATTTGGGATGCTTTCTGAACATAAAGGCTTTTTAAAA